GTGAAAACGATAGTGTTCAATTGGAATATTCTTGAGTGAAACGGCAGCACCTCAGGATCTGATCTGCAGGGCAGAGAGTTTGCCTTGTCTCTCTTAACGGTTGGACTTGATGATCTTAAAGGTCTTTTCCAACCTAAACGATTCTGTGACTCTGTGATTCTTAATCCCTTTTTCTAGGGCTTATAGTTATGCAAAATGCCCTTAAAAAGAGGCCTTTGCACAGCAAGATTTAAGAGCAGATGCTGTGGTGGCACTTACGTACTAAGAGGAGGTCATCTAAGGTAACTGCAAGGAAGAGCAGTATCACATCAGCTTTTTCTTCAGTTTTGTTCTTTTTCTTACAGTATCAGCAAACCTGGTACCACGAAGGACCACGCAGTCTGAAAACAGCAAGGCTGTGGCTTGCTAACTACTCGCTCCCCAGGTAAGGAACAACGGCACAAATGAAGGAGGGAGATGCAACCTTTTGTAAAATCCAGTTGCTAATCCCACTGCAGGTAGTGCAGGAAATTTGAGATGAAAGGAATGGGGAACACACGCTGGTAGACAAGTCCAGTGAGCTCAGAGCTTGAGGTCTCAGTGACTGACGGTAGCATTAGCCCGGTTTGGGGGAAGAAGGGGGAAAGGCCTGTGTCCAGGAGCAGGGCAGGGAAAATATAGGGACTTGTTACTCCACCTTCCCTCTTCACAGGGCAGTGAAGCGGCTAGAAGAAGCCCGGCTGCTCAAAGAGATCCCGGAGGCAACCAGGACATCGCAGAGACAGGAGCTACACAAATCCCTCCGAGTAGGTTTGGCAGCTGCTCAGCTCCTGCGTTTAAAACTTTTTGCTGGTCTCCAAAGAGATCAGCTGCCCGGAGGTGCCCTCCCGATGCACGTAGTTTGCTGTGCTGTGCCTGTCACCTGTTGGAAAGCTCTGCTTTTTCTCACTTTCCCTATGATATGCATAAAGCATGTTCTAACGCTTTCTTCAGGGATTCAGAGAGATGTGCTTTAGTTGTCTCCTTGCATGGCAGAGGGACGAAGAGACGTCCCTGCATTGCCTTGCCACTTGCCTGTGAAGCTGAAGGAATTTAATCCTGGCTTTGTCACAGCTTTAGCTGGCTAGGAAGGGACTGCTCACTTTCCTCTTCCTGTACAATGGTCACTAGTGCATAAACCCAAGGGAAAGAATAACCAACACAGTAATGCAAAACGTGTGTTAGATGACTCTGAGACGCCCTTTTCGAGCATGTTAAATCAGATTCCCAGCTTAACTGAACAGAATGGCTCAAGCACACAGTGTGCTGCCGCTCTAATCCTGTTTACACCCAGAGGCTTTAGCTGCCAGAGGATTTGCTTCTCCCCTGAGCGCACTGCACTGCCTGCCCTAGTCTGTCTGGTTGCATTCATTGGATGAGTTGTAGCAAGAGGCCAAAACTACAGTGAGGTCTCTGTCAAAATGCTAGTTATAAAGCAGGCCTGTGGGGTTATTGGTGGCAGGTACCGCGGGTGGCACAGTTGAGAGTTCAGCTGTGCCCCAGGGCCGTGCTAGCTTACATGGGTCAGGCTGGCTCGTGGGTCAGGCTGGCTCGGTGGCCCTCCTGCGTGGAGCTGGAGTGGCTCCCAGGTAGGTCCTCCCTTTGACAGTGACTTTCCAAAGGCCTCTGCCTCCTCCTGCCTACATTTGCCTCCTTCACCTCAGTCTAGGTCATCTGTACTTTACTCATTTATTTTTTTCTTTGTATTTGGTTACAGTCCTTGAATAACTTCTGCAGTCAGATTGGAGACGATCGCCCACTGTCCTACTGCCACTTCAGCCCCAATTCCAAGCTCCTCGCTACAGCCTGTTGGTAAGTTTTCTTCTACAGCACTTGCTTTAGGGGCCAGGGGAGCGCAGCAGGAGTGAAGGAGAGGGATGTTATTGGAGGCCTGTGAATCGTGAGAGTTCAGAAATGCTTTGTCTTCCTACTCTGAACTCTCTCTTCACCCCGTTTCAGAGCTCAGCAGAGATTTGGATGTGAGTCCCTTAGTCCCTCTGATTGGTTGCCCAAAGTGTATTGGTATTTTAGCCGTTGCAGAACCCCCAGGGTGGTTTTGCAGCTCTGTGTTTGATCTCTTCTTTGATGTTCCTGTCTACACTGACATCTGTTTCTTGTCTTCAACAGGAGCGGATTGTGCAAGCTCTGGTCTGTGCCTGACTGCAACCTTGTTCACACCTTACGAGGTACAGAGCAGCTTTCACTGAGACTCTTTGCGTGGTTCTTTTGTTCCTCTCTGGGTTGAGTTCCCATATCTGAATTACCTTGTGACTCAAAATGTAGCGTTCTTTGGGCAGATTTTATTCTGAGAGCATCACTCAGGCTTGCGGAGCATGGGCACGTGTCTTATAATCAAGAGGAAGTCATGGCCTTCCTCTTAGAGCCAAGACCCGAGTTTGTTGTTTCTGTTTCTGAACGATGTTCTTGTTTTGTTTCATAACCTGGTTTGAGATGTTTTGAGCCAAATATCAGCATTTTTGGCCAGGCCACTTAACAGCAGTGAGTCGTTCTTTGAACAGTGGTCACACCTTTGACTAAATACAAACGTGAGGACAAATCTCTTGATTCATATGTTGAATTTTCACTGCATTTTGAGGGTTACAAACCTTGGCGTTTGATACTCTTAAGTGGGTGCTACCGGAGTTGCAGTTTAGCTGTTTGCAGGACAGATGTGTCTGGTGGTTACAATGCACCTTCACCCAACATGGGAGGACAGAGTAAAGTGTTCATGGGTGCCTGACTAATTAGTAACAAGGAAATGCCGTTTTTCTGAAGAACTGGCCAAGATCACGTGGCAGATTATGAATTTTGGTTTTCCTTTCTCTTAAGGACATAACACCAACGTAGGAGCAATAGTCTTCCATCCCAAATCCACCGTCTCCCTAGACAAGAAGGACGTTAACCTGGCCTCGTGTGCGGCTGATGGGTCTGTCAAACTCTGGAGCCTTGAAAGGTCAGAATGCTACCAGACGTGCACAGCTGCAGCATTGTTGGTTTGGGGTTTATTTTGTGTTATTAAGCATTGGACGTTTACCATCCTCCTGCAAATACAACCTTTTCTTGTAGTTATACCAGTGCAATTCCTGGCCTCAGTATGTGCCACCTCCTTCAGCAAAAAGAGATCACCCTGATTAGGGGAATCAAGGTGAGGGGAAATCATCTGAAAAGAATCACGTCAGAATTGCTGCTGGGCATTGGTAAACTGCTTTGGGTGATGGATGGAAGATTTGGAGATTGTTTCATTCTAACCTTTTCTTTAGAAGAAAACTTCCCCTCTTGGATACTAAGAAATGAATTTTGGAGTTATTGGGAAGCACCAGTATTCAGAGAGGGACTAACCAAATACAGGACCACATACCATAGCTTCACCCAGTAATAAAAGCAAGTGGCTGTCATTGCACAGTGTAGTTTTGGAAGATGCACAGCATCTGTCTCAAGCCTGTGAAGAAGAGAATGGTGTAGATACCGAGCCCTAGCATCTGCTGTGCTTGAAAAGTGGAGCCCTGCAGTGCCACTGAGGAAGAGGCAGGCAGCTCTGAGATCCTCAGTTGTTTATCCGTAGCTGAAAGCCACTGTTTCGAATTGCAGAAGCATACCTGTGCCAAGGGACAGGTTGGTTATTAGTCTCATGTGACCACGTCTTTTTAGTTGGTCTGTTGGGAAGAAACTCTAAATGCTGTTCAGGCCTTCTGGTGAAGGCTGCTGGCCTGCTGCCTGTAATTCTGGGAGAATAAATATTCACTCTGTCCTGCCTGCCCTGTGATTCCTCAGACCCGCTGGATTTGCTGTAGTTTGGGATGTTCTGCGTAGTCACGGTAAAACTCCCTGCTGCCCAGGGAGCCCGCGTTTTGTTTCTGCTGTTAACTGCTTTCAAAGTGCTATTAACAAGGGCCTTGTTAACTTTCAGGAAATTACCCCAGGAGAACTTTATAACCAACATGAATGTGGATAAAAGGGTTTCACTCAGAGCTTTGGCTGTGTGAACAAAAGGCAGAATTCAGAGTCATTAGTTAAAACTCTGATTTTCCTGTCTGGCTTGCCTTTAATTAGCAGCTGTCTTGCTGTGATCATAATGTTTGCAAAGGCCTGGCTAGAGCCTCTGACCAGCGTCTGACGATTTTTGCTTCTGTTTTTCAGTGATGAACCGGTGGCAGATATTGAAGGACACAGCATGAGAGTGGCACGTGTGATGTGGCACCCATCTGGGAGGTTCCTGGGCACTACCTGGTATGGAGATTCGGTTATTTGCTTTAAGACGTTACTGTTAGCTGCCTAGCTGGTAGCCCGTGGGTACCACTGCTTGTCTGCAGAGGAGCCCAGCATGGGCAAGGGTTGGCCATTCTTGACAACGGCTGGGCTGTGAAGTGCAAATAACGGCAAGTCATTGGCATTTCTTTCCCTGCCCGTCATCTGAGATGCTGTTGGTCTCCAGCTGGAAATAAAATGCCCAAGAGTTAGTGAAATATCCTGTTATTCTCCTTGGAGGTACAGTTAGTTAGACAAACACTGTTTTTACAGCTATGATCACTCGTGGCGCTTGTGGGACTTGGAAGCTCAGGAAGAGATTCTCCATCAGGAGGGGCACAGCAAAGGGGTCTATGACATTGCCTTTCACACGGATGGCTCTCTCGCTGGGACTGGGTGAGTTTGCTTTGCGTCAGGACTGGACGTGAAATATGATCAAGGTTTTGTTGCTGTCTGATGCCAAGCGCCCCAGCGATTTCTGCTGGTGCGGCTGAGCGCGCTCTGGCAGTTGCTGAAGTCTCTGATGAGAGACTTGGCTTCTCTCTTCCCAGCGGTCTGGATGCTTTTGGCCGGGTGTGGGACTTGCGCACGGGACGCTGTATCATGTTTCTAGAAGGCCACCTGAAGGAGATCTACGGGGTTAACTTCTCCCCAAACGGGTAGGAAAGGAGCTTGCATGGTTTACCTGGGAGCTCAGAGTACAAACCCCAGCTTCCAACACATTCTTCCTCCACCCTTTGGCAGATACCACGTCGCAACTGGTAGTGGTGACAATACTTGCAAGGTGTGGGACCTCCGCCAGAGGAAGTGCATCTACACCATTCCTGCCCATCAGAACCTGGTGACCGGGGTGAAATTTGAACGTAAGTGCCTCCTGTCTGATGTTCCTTGTCCCTGAGCTGAGGGGGCAGGGGTGGGGCAACTCAAAACCACATCTTCAGGTCAAGAAGGCCTGTACTGGTTAGCAGAGATGATCTGTCATGTTTTTATTTGCAAATCTGACTTCTCCCTTTTTCTCATCCTCCACTGCAGCCAATCACGGTACTCACCCCGGCTGGTCCCCTTTGAAAACGCTGGCTGGGCATGAGGGCAAGGTGATGGGACTGGACATCTCCCTCGACGGCCAGCTGATAGCGACCTGCTCCTATGACAGAACCTTCAAGTTGTGGACGGCGGAGTAGCTCAGAGGTGCGGCTGATGAACTGGAATGGAGGCGTTGATGGCTTTGAACCAAGACTTGGGGTTTTTATATTAAAGAAAAAAAAAGGAGTCAGCTATTTCAGCATGCGTTACGGCAGCTGGCATCAGTGGCTGGTCTTGGGTTGAGGTGGTTTTGAAGTACCTGCATTTGCCGGGGTTTGGCTGGAGTCACATCTCGGGTGATGTTTTTCCACTTGTTAGGACTTTATTTTTATACTGCAGATACTGCTTTCTGCTGTAATTTGGAGATGATCCATCTGCTTCCACCCTCCCTTCCAAGTTAGGCTCACAGGTTTTCTCCAGTCTGTTTTAAACATCTGCAGGTAGCCACACAACCCCTCAGGTATGGGGTGGTGTTCAGCCTCTGTTAATACCCTTCTTACCTTCCATTTTCCAGGAGTCTGTGGCTTCAATATTGACTTGCATGTAAAGAAAGAAAAACGAGCTGTCAGAGGTACAGGAAGATGGTACCCTGCTTCTCCTGCCTCTGTAACGGTGGTCTCTGAACGTGGAGGTCCGCATCCCCTTCGTATTCGCTCACAGTAGATGTTAAAGGCCAGGGAAATTTTTCTTTTCCATGTACCATCTCCTGTCCTAGCCTCTTGAGCGGTCTCATGAACGGGGTGTTTCCAATCCACGTAGGCATCTCCTGTTCAAGTTCTTGCTGTGTCTCACCTGAGATGATACGAGGGCGGCTATTTCAGTGTAGGATCGTCTTGTTCTAACTTAGGCTGTGGGGAGTTTCTTATTTGTTGTTTATTCTTTAAACTGAGGTTTTGCAAATGTGTTCTGGGTTTTGAACGGGCACCCTGGCCCCTGGGTCTAAGGAATGGAGAAATTACAGGTGCTGTTCTCAACACTTGCAGTGCAGTTGGAAATTGTGTTTTAAGAAAAAAAACCCAAGCCCACTCATGAGTTACTTTTCTTCTAGCAGTGTTGTGGGATTTCTCCTCCCTTCCAAGTATGGTGGCATCTGCCACATCTACGCTAGCTCTTATTTACTCCCAGGGAAAATACTATGGGATGAGAGGCCAGCAACTAACACAGAGAAACATTTAATTGCAGTCTCCTCTTGTAGAAGCCTAGATACCCAGCTACGCGTGCTCAACCTCGTATCTCGTAAAGTGTCTGCTGAAGGGACTGGCTGGGCCTGGCAGCTGTGCCGGGACAATCCGCCCCAGCGTGTTTCCCATCAGGTTGCCATTCACAGGACAGTCCTGGCCCAGCAGTCGCCCAGCAGGCTCCCATGTTTCTAGCTGGCTTAGGGTGAAATTCTGGACACCAGTGAATGTTCTGCGTTCGCACTCGCGTTGTTCCGGGGGGATAAATCCCAGTGCAGGGTTTCTGTTGCACCACGTTCAGCTGCACTCACCGGGAGCGAGGGGTAGGAGGTCGAGTGTTCCCTGGCACCCTTCAGCGCTGCCCCTTGGCTTCCCCCAGCTCATCTCCTCCCTCAGCCCCCGCCACGTGCAGCTAGCCTGCATGGAGCTTTTGTAAATAAAATGCACAAGGCTCTTCCAGGAGTGGGAGCTTGGCCTGAATGCATCTGTGATTTGGCTTTTCTTCTAGGCAGCTCTCGTGCCTTCCCGCCACCCACAAACCAACCAATAAATCCCCCTGCCCCGCCGATCGCGCATCGCTGCTCTCCAGGCACGAGGTCTCCTGGTGCTTGCAGTCAGGGGGAAGCTCTCGGGGAGTTGCATCCCCTGGCAGGGCAGTCTCTGTCAGAAAGGTTACTGCGGTCAGAACACTGCCACCTCCTCCAGCGCCAGGTCCGCATGGTTGCTCAGCTGGAGTACGTGAATTCCTGAGTTAAAACTGGCACAGAGCAGCGTGGAGCTGTCGCAGGCAGCCAGCGAGGCCAGCGGTCCCGATCCCTCGAGGCACAAGGTGGCCAGGCAGCCTGGGGAGGGAAGAGAGAAGTCGCTCGGGACACTTGGTTTGCTGAGATGAGACAAGACCACGCCAACCTCCCACCGCCTGGCTCTGCCCACCCGCGGAGGGTGAGCTGCACCCCTCGCTGCCCCGGATCCCCGTGGCCAAAGGCATTGGGACGCACCCTCTGGAAGAGAGACCCTCCACCCCCGTAAGCCCCACAGGGGATCTGTGCGTTGCCCAGCTCGCGTAGATCCAGGCTGAGGTTGGGCTCTGCCCCTTCCCCGGCAAGGAAGCAGGGATGGATGGACAGACAGACCCCGCTGGGCAGAGCTGCAGGGCTCGCGTGGAGGCACTCCCGACATGCCTTTTTCTCCCAAATTGCTTATGGTCCAGAAAAATTCTTCAGGGCTGTGCTACACTCAACAAGCGGTTTTGATAAATCACAAAAAGAGGAACAGAAATAAGATGTGCAATATCCAGCACCACATCAGCCCTTCCGTTTGTGTCTATTAAAAAATACCCTGAGGCAGCATTTGTGCAGAGACACCGACCCCACGCCGAGCTGCTAACAGAGCCGCGTTTGACACGGACGTACAGGCAACTCGTGGTGACTTACACCCCTCCAAGAGCACCTGAATTAAGGCTGACGGCTGTGAAGGTCACCCAGTTGTGAAAGCAACAGGATCAAAACAAAGCTGCTGCTGACCCCGCGGCTGTCTTGGCGCGCACAGGCGCCAGGGTGAAGGAAGAGGTAAGTGAAACAGCAGGTGAGAGCTTTTCTGTGGGAGATCATCAGGTTTCTATTTTCATCCTATGTTCAATAAGTGCATTTGGAGAGGTGCTTAGCCACGGGGAGCGTCTGATGCTGATTTCTGCCACGTTCGGTGCCTGTCTGTGAACCTGAACGGCTTCCCAGGAGGTCTCTGCGTCTGCGCAGGGCGTTACTAACAAGCCTGCTGCCGTGGCAGGGCTTGGCAGGTAAACAGCCGCCTGTCCGGCTCCGGTGAGGACTCAGCCCTCACCAAGCACTCCAGCAAGCAGGGTTAACCCCGAAATGCTCGCAGTTCCCCTTCAAGAGGATGATCAGAGTGAGGGCAGCTGCTGACCAGCCCTCTATCCTCCAGCACAACTTCTGTTCTTTACAACTTTCCACTTGTATGTGTGGAAAGCCCTGGAGTTCCTTTTTTCTTCTTGATTTTTATCATTTGTCCTTTCATTGCTGAACTTGGACATATCTTTAAAAGCCATCTTGTCGTTACTTCCTTTTAGTTTAGGAAGGACACCCATCGCCTCCAACATTACGCACCCAAACACCCTCCTTTGCTGGAGGGCAAGCAGAAGCCCCTGGGTTTGCTCTGGGGCATATCTCCACCCTGCCCTGCAGCTGGATTAGAGTAAAAACCAGAGATTTTAGGCTTCATCGTGCCCATTACCACCGGGAGACAGAAACGAAGGAAACAGTTTTGTTATCCCAGGGTGGCCAGGACCCTCCCCTACCTCCAGTGTCTCGGTCCCAGACCTTCACTGTGCTGTCGCATGAGGCCGTGGCAATGCTGGGGGCGAGAGCTGGGCCCCGTGGAAGGAAAACACACGAGGTCGTGGTCTGGAAATGCCCTTTGTACTCGCGCACTCGGTTCCTCGTCTGCCGTAGGTCCCACAGCTGCAAGGCAACAGGCAGCGTTTAGAGCTCAGGCTCTGTTACTGTCACTTGCCAACATGGAGCTGTTTTAGAAAGAAAGGAAGATGGGTTTGGATGAAGAGCTCCCTGCCAATCCTCAGAGAACAATGTCTACCACCTTTGTCCCCTGCTCACAGTTCTGGAGAGCTTCAAACCCTGAAGGATTTTCACCATCGGTGACTATTTCAGCACGTGCCCGCAGCCATCAGAGCTGATGGGCTAAGACTGTGCGGGCAGATAACCACGTCTCCAGCCTGCTCCTGTCCTCGGCCCTGCTCTCCCCGGGGTGGGATGGTGCTCACACACAGGGCTGAGAACCTGCAGGATTGAATCCCTGGTTTGGAAACACCTCAAGCAAGGGGTCCCTTACAGGCTTTCTGCAAGAATCTCATGCTCCTCGATGCCATTACTGAAACAAAATCTCAGGGCTTTAATCAGGAAGAACATCTGACCCGCTGCCCTCCGCTGTATGCCGTGGACATTGGAGAAGAAAAAACAGAAAAAGCAGGACTTGCTGCCCAGCAAACTCACGGTCGCCTCGCCGCCCTCCCCAGCGGAGCCGCTGCTGCTGCTGAGGCAATACCGTCCATCCTGGCTCACGTCACAGCACGTCTGGATGTGCCGCTTGGCTGGAAACGTGTGTGCCACCTGCAGCTCCCGGCTGTCCCAGATCCTGGAAGGAACAGGAGTGGGGAAGGGGGACTCTGACGCGTCAGTGCCATGATGGGCTTCCCTCCGCGCCCTCCCGCACACCCTCACGCTTTGCCCTTGCTGCCATCCCCCGTGGGGCCGTCCCCCTCCTTCCTCCCAGCAAGCCCAGCTCCCAAAGCTCACTGCATCCTTGCATTTATCTCTCCTGGATCAATCTTTAGCCAGAGCAGCTGTGCTGAGCTTTCTTTTTTTTATAAATTCTCCTTTTTCCCCACAGTCACCACCCAGCGCTGCTTACAGCCAGGGGTGTCCCCATACTGTCCTCTCCTGGCAAGAGACGATGCTCCGAGACCCAGGTGAGCTGGAAGATGGCTTCTAGCCACCCCAGCAGGGCACGGGAGACCAGGTGGTCATGACCAACAACCAAAGAAACAGCCCCTTGTGCACTGGCATCTTCCATCATTCCCATGTGCCCCAGGCTGTAACTCCCTTCTCTGGCCACACGGAGAATTTACCTGATCGTTTTATCCTCCGAGGTCTGGAGGACGTAAGGCTCCCCAGGAACCCAGCACAGATGTGTGACCTGCGGAGAGGAACGGATGAGCAGAAGCCCACCTCTGCCTGCACTGCAGCCCAGGCTGGTGTCCGCCTGGAGATACACGGCCACCGAGCTCCCATCCTCTCCCTCCTTGTGCTGGGTTGTGAGTAGGAAATGGATGAAGTTTTTTTCTGCTTCCCACCCATCCTGCTCCCCTACCAGGTTCAATCCCAGCA